TGAGGATCCTCACTCAGTACAGCGAACTTGTTGGTAACAGCAGTCTTCGAATTCTCCTTTCCAAAAGATTTTCTATGTCCATCTCTACTATCTGGAGCCAGGACATCGTTTACCTCAAGAATATCCTTCTTATTTACCATTATTTTTCTAACAAACTTTGCATTATTCTTCAGATTGTTTTCTTCCCTGATAGAATTGTCGAGTTTATCATCATTCAGCACCTTCCTAACAACGTTTCCTCTGTTGTATCTCCTGTCTTTGAAGTGACATGGATCCAGGGTCCATATTCAGAACTAATCACTGATGATTTATTTTCCTGCAAATTCTTCTCACCAGTTTCCTTACCAACTTCTTTCTCCTTCAACGACTAATTTTCTATTCCAATAGATACATTTTCTAGGCATATCTCTCTGTTGTGGCCAACTCTACCACACTGATAACAGAGTAAATCGATTTTCTCGTATTCAACCCATTGAAAGAACCTTCCAGCAGAGCCATCCACCCACACACCATTCAACAGCTTTTTCTCCAGATTAATCCTTACACATACTCGAGCAAATTCCCGTTTGCTCCAAAGGAATGTATTGCCATCAATGTACATTGGCGTTCCCAAGCAAGATGCAATCCTTGAAATATTGTCTTCATCTCAGCAATACAACGGTAGACATGGAAATCTAACCCATACTGGTGCCGAGATTTCTTTAAACGTGTACAGATCAAATGCAGCTGACCACCTATCCATTCCAACAATGAATCCGTTTACATACCACGGTTCTCCATTCAAAACTTCATCAACCACTTCACTCGATTGAAATGAGTACAAGATCCAGTCCATACCAATCGATGTTAAGTGGAAACTTCCAAACCTGCTCCATTGCTTTCTCAATTCGGTGCTACAAATCGAAAAAGGCACATTGTTACCTAGCACTTTGATCATCACAAAATTCTTCAAAATCTGTGAATTCCTTGCTTCGATATCAGCATTTAACTTCACAGCAATTCCATCTTCTGAAAATTCGACACTTTTCTTATTAAACGATAGTTTGATTGGCTTTGGCTTCGACCAGGCTTCAACTATCTCATTACTATTACTCTTTTGCAATTCCATCTCTACTGGTCCTTCGTACACCGATATATCCTCCTTTAAAACTTCCGCCGACGAAAGATCATCACCAATCTTACGCCCCTTAAGCGTATCAAGAACCCTAGAAAGATTGTTCACACGGAGAATCAAGTCGTCTAATGCCGACGATTCATGAATTGCAACTCCTGGATTCATATTTCCACCAAGAATATCTTTCCCAACCAAATTCTCAATCAGCACGCTCTTACCCTTACCTTCAACAGGGGCTATCCGACGATGGTTTACCACACCTTCTTTAATAACAATTCCATTTGAACCTCTACCGCTTGGGCGTACAGGTCCCATAGGTCACGGGGCGTTCATGAGGACGAACACCGGAGATCAACCACTGCCGCCACCTCCAATCGTGAAAAATCCGCGAAAGGCCAAATTCAAAAAATAAGAAGATGATATGGAGGTGGTGTTATTAAGTATTAGTTTTACTATTGAGATACTCTCTCATACTATTGTAAATGATCAGGTGTATGGCCATTGTAGTTTGGTGGAGGCTAATGTTGGAAATGAATTGAGTAATAAAGTTTATGAGGAAGAGGGCGCTATCTTCGAAGAGGGTGAACTGCCTCGGTGTGAGAGGCAGGTAGGTATGACAGTTGATAGTAAGTTTATGTTTTTTTTTTTTTGAAGAATTGCAACATTTGCATTAAAAGAAGCAACAAAGAACTAGATACAAGTAATAAAAGGATCACATTCCTTCTTGATTAAGGCCATGAAGATGGAAGGGATACCTTCAAAAGAAAAACTATCAAAAGAAAAACAATTTTCCAATGCCAAAGTAGCACAACAATTAGCTACTTTATTACAATATCTATAGGCATGATGGAAAACAACCTTATTGAAATCATTTAGAAAAAATAAATCCTTTGCCGACCATCTATCCAAAGGCCATTTATTCTTCTTCAATAAATCTTGAATGAAATGGATAATGTTGACATTATCACTCTCAATGATAAACCCCTTGCATTCCAACATCCAACTCTTCAGGAACTCCTTCACCGTAAGAACTGCTTCCATTTAGAGTTGTGCCACATCCCAATGAGTCTTCTTCTTTCCAAATGCACTGATCAAACGTCCTTTATGGTCCTGAAAGACTCCACCAATACCACCAAGATTGGAGCTAAGCAAAGAGGCATCTAAGTTGATCTTAATCCACTCTTTCGGTGGAGGGCACCAAGTATTTGAAGGCTCCCTAAGGAGATTAGTACCCCAGCTAGAAAGATATGGACTAGATTTGGAAACAGCTAAGAACAATGCATTAGGAGCAACCATAGAAGCGGGCAAAGCATTCTTACCGTGCTTCACATAGTTTCGGTTCTTCCAGGATAAGTATATCACAGAACAATACAACTTGGCAACTCCAGAATTACAAGTTGAAAGCCTTTTATGCTCAAGTAGACAGCAATCCAAAGAACTGAAAACAGGGATCACAATACCCCATTCACGCAACTTCATAATGACCTACAGCATAAACTTACAATGCACCATAATATGTTCATAAGATTCAACCACTTGGTAGCCTCTCTCGCAAACATCAATTTTAGTGATTCTATGATTCTTAAGAAACAAATTAGTAGGAATCGTACCATTACCTAACCTCCACAAGAAGATTTCAACCTTCTTACTGAGTTTGAGCTTCTGCAGCCATTTGTAAAAATCAACATCTCAAAAGTATACCTGTTGAACAACAACTGTTCATAAACTATTGCAAAAACTGTCATTCTCGAACACCATTTCAGCAGCTCTATGCTATCCTCCTCCACATAATCAATTTGGATTTGTCTAATCAACAAGATAGGCTCTAGATGAAAGGCTCTCTGAAGCAAAATAGGATTCCATTCACCATTATTAACCAATAACTGTTGAACATACATACCATCCAACACATCACAGTCCACATATGTTGGCCACCGATTGATGCTTTTATCCAACAACCAAGCATCATTCAAAACATTGATTTTGTTGCCCTTACCCACCTTCCATCTGATAGCATTTTTCAAATTCTTGCCCCCATCCAACATAATCTTCCAAGCACTTGACGTGACTTTCTTCTGATCATCCTTCATAATCTCATCACCATATTTTGCCTTCAAAGTTCGATGAAACAAAAAGTACGATTTTTGAATGAAGTTCCAAGCCAATCTAGTTCTCAAAGAACCAATTCTCAATAAAGGAGATTGCAAACCCCCCATACTTCTCATCTTGCAAATTTCACCCCAAGCAACATAATGCATACCTTTAGACCCATCATTCTTATGCCATAAAAAACTTCTACACAGTTTTTCTAACTCATTCAAAACTCTTTTAGGAACCAAAGAGTGAGTATTTAGGAAATTTGGCATAGAAAGTAAAGAAGATTCAATGAGAGTGAGCTTACTCCCATTGATAATGACTTCTTACCCCAAGAGTTGAGTTTGTCCATGACCATACTCAAAAGTTCATGAAAATCTGCCATCTTGCTTCTTCCAAGTGAAATCTTCACTCCCAAATACATCATCTCCTTGACCTCCTTAAAGCCGAGAACTCTAGAAACTTTCTTCCTCATAGGGTAATTTACCACCTTACCAAATAAAATCTGAGATTTACTGACATTGACTCTTTGTCCTGTCCACTTATAAAAATCCTTCAATATATTCTTCAATGCTTTCGCTACAGTAATGGAAACATGAAACAAAATCAACACATCATCTGGATAGAGAAGATGTGTGATCCTTGGACCTCTAGGTGAAATCCGAATGCCAAGATTCTTCCCCCTTTGCTCCAATGAATTGAATAAGAGTTGAGAACACAACATGAAGAGATAAGGAGAAAGTGGGCATCCTTGATGGAAACCACTTTTAGCAAAAATCCAATTGGAGTTCCTTCCATTAATGATGATAATAAACCTTACATCTACAACACATTCCATAAGGAGGTTAGAAAACAAAGTAGGAAAACCATACCACTTAAGAACCTCATGAAGTGTTATCCAACCCATGCTATCATAAGCCTGTTCCATATCCAATTTAAGAGCCATCAATCCCTTCTTATTCTTGGATAATTTTAACTTATGAAGAATCTCCTATGCCAAGAGACAATGTTCTGATATGGATCTTCCAGGAATGAATGCTTCTTGCTCTTCAAAAACCATCTTGTCAATCACTTTCTTCAATCTGTTAACTAACATACTAGCCACGATTTTGTAATTAATCTGACATAGGCTAATAGGCCTATAATTTGATGAAGAAAGGGTATTTTACTTTAGAATTCAAAGTAATTAATGTATCCTTCCATTCTCTATTTAAAATACTGGTTTTGAAAAACTGGTTGACTGCATTCCAAAAAGTTTCCCAAACTATACTCCAATAACTCTTATAGAAAGAAGAAGTAACTCCATCAATACCTGGTGCCTTGTTATTCCCCTACTAAAAAACCGAGAGCTGCAGTTCATGTACAGAGAAATCCTCATTAAGCATCACCATATCTGCATTATTCACCTTCTGGACTTCATCAATTAACGGCCACCTCATCAGCTAACACTCTCTATGCTTCCACTTCTTCACAAAAAAATTTTTAAAGACCTTCTCAATTTGATCATCCTCCACATGAAATGTATTGAGCTCATCTTTAATCTGATTAATACGGTTCCCATTTCATCTTGCCGATGCAAAATTCTAAAAAAATCTTGAGTTTCTATCTCCTTGCTCATGCCATCTTACTTTTTCCCTTTGTTTCCACCAAGTAGACAGCCGCCTCAATGTAATATTCAATTCATGGACTTTGTTCCTGAGCACACAAAGATCATAATCCGACCAATTACCATCCAAAGCTTCCCTATTTTGAAGATCGAGAATTTCTCTCTTCAAAATTTCCTTCAACAAGTTCAATTCCTTGCAGTTATTTTTATTCCAGAAAAAAGTGCCTTCAAAGTATGGTTAAGTTTCCTTTGAAGGATTATATATTCATCACCAAAGTCATTCTTCTTCCAAGAGTTATAAACAATACTCTTAGCTGCATGGTATGATCTCCAAGTGTCCTCAAACTTAAAGATTTTATCCTTACAATGCACTTTATCCTTCATATTTAGAACAATAGGACTGTGGTCCGATGCTACTCTAGCAAGATGCTTGATAGTAGCCATTGGAAGCTTTTGAATAGCAGCCGAATTCAATATACATCTATCCAACCTCTCCCAAATCTGAGAGGTCCCCTCTTTGTTATTACACCAAGTAAACCTTGGTCCAACACTTCCAATTTCATGGAAATCAGAATTAACCATAAAGCTCTTCATCTCCCTGGGTCCTTTAGAGAACAAGAACCTTTTGCCTCCTCTCTTCTCATCCTTGTTAATAATACAATTAAAATCCCCTCCAATAATGGAAGGAATTGCATCCTTCATACAATCCTGAAGTTGATTCCACAAGCTTCCCCTTTCCTTACAACATATGCTCCCATATATTGTGGAAATTTTCCAAATTTCCAAGCTGGGAACTGAATGACTACCAACAATTGCTTGTGATGATGCCTCCACCACATCAAAAGAAACCATATTCCTGTTCCATAATACCAGAAGGCCTACTGAAGTACCCACAGCAGGGTAATGAAAATACTCCCAATCCTTTCCAACCATATAGTCAACATCTTTTCTATCAATGCTAGACAACTTGGTCTCCATAAGCCCACTAAAATAAATATTCTGATCTCTAACAATGTCCTTCAAATATAAGGAAGCTTCTTTTTTCCTAGCTCCCCTACAATTCCAAAAAAGGATTGAGGGCATTAAACAGGTGTAAATGGTGTCTCCCCAATCTTGGGGTTCAACCTATCATACCTCTTTTTCTTCTTGTAATCCAATTCCACAGGTCCTAATGATCTTAATTCCTTGGATAGCTTCACCTTGGCAGCAACACTATTTGTACCCAAACCATTGTTGCTGGCATTAGTATTAATATTGTCCCGACCTCTTTCTTCTATTTTTTCACCTTCATCATGATTCCCCAGACAATCTTCTTCAATACTTTCACTCAGCACAGCAAACCTATTGGTTATAACAGCATCCTTTCCAACAGGTTTTTCAGATTCAGCCATAATTTCTGGAACCAGGATGTTCTTTCCAGCAGCAATACCCTTCACATTCACCATTTTAATATCTTTCTGTAAATTATTCTTCTGATTAATGTTCCCCCTGAAAACATTACCGAACCTATCAGCATTTATTCCAATTCCAGTAACATTACCTCTGCTGCCTTTCCTATTTTTGAGGTGAACATGGATCCAAGGACCATATTCGGAGCTTATCACAGAGGTTTTACTCTCAGGCATAATCTTCTCGCCATGCTCCTTAACTACCTCCTTCTCCTTCAATGCTTGATTCTATATTCCAATGGATAAATTTTCTGGACAGATATCTCTGTTATGGCCCACTCTACCACACTGATAACAGAGAAGATCGATTTTCTCATATTCAACTCATTGGAAGAACCTTCGAATAGAGCCATCCACCCAAACACCATTCAACAATTTCTTCTCCAAATTAATCCTCACACATACACGAGCAAACTCCCATTTACCCCAGCGGAATGTGTTACCATCAATGTACATTGGCGTTCCCAAGAAAGATGCAATTCTTGCAATGTTGTCCTCATCCCAGCAATACAAGGGTAGACACGGAAATCTAACCCATACTGGTGCCGAAACTCCTTTAAACGTGTTTGGATCAAATGCAGCCGACCACCTATCCATCCCAATAATGAATCCATTTACATACCATAGTCCCCTGTTCATAACTTCTTCAACCACCTCACTCGTATGGAATGAACACAGAATCCAATTCATACCAATAGACATCAAGTGGAAACCACCAAACTTGCTCCATTGCCTTCTCAGTTTGGTACTACAAATCGAAAAAGGCACATTGTTTCCCAGCACTTTAATCACCACCGAATTCTTCAAAATTTGAGAATTCTTTGCCTCCATTTCTGCATTCAACTTAACAGCAATACCATCTTCTAACAATTCGACCAGGTCCTTATTAAATGATATCTTGATTGGCTTTGGTTTCGACCAAGCTTTAGCAACCTCATTACTTTTGTTCTTCCAAAATTTACTATCTGTTGTATCCTTAATATGATCCTCCATAACTTCAACTTCCTTCAGAACTCCCACTAACGACTGATCGTCATCGATTTTACGCCCCTTACTTGTATCAAGAACCCTAGAGAAATTGTTCACACGTAGAATTAAATCATCCGACGCTGATGATTCAATAATTGCCAAACCTGGATTTCCTTTTACACCAATATTTTCCTTCCCAGCCATATTTTCAATCATCACATTCTTTCCCTTACCTTCAACATGAAATTGACGGCAACGGGGTAACTCTCCTTCTCTGATCACAATACCATTTGAACCTCTACCAGTGGGACGAAGAGGTCCCGTAGGTCGTGGAGCATTCATGAAGATGCCAAACAAACGCCGGTGATCATCCACTGCCACCACCACCGATCACAAAAATCCCAAGGAAAATCAAAATTTAAAAATAGGAAGACGGACTTTCTCTCTCAAGAACTGGTAGCTTAAGAAGAATGACTCCCAATAGTGAATGTTGGATTATTAAGTTTCCCTTAACAAATCAATATCATAATGATTCCTTTACTGATACTTAAGATATGGATATCATGGCTAAATGTTTTATCAAAGATGATAATGACACTAGTTATACCAAGTTTCAAAGTAGGAGTGGCAGAAAGAAAAAGAACATCATTCCACAAACTACTAGAACCACCTGATCATATGCTAATCATTAACCCTCGGTTTTTTTATGTTTAACTCTATTATTTGGAATGTTACCCTCTTCTATGTTACGGCTTGAAAATTTATGTAACATTTATAATGTTTCTATTTTTTTTATTAGAACCTTTTGTTTCCTCTACTAAATTAAATGACATAGCTATATATTTCGGTTTTAAATAAGTTATTTCTAATGTTGCTAATAAGATTTTGGTGCTTTGGAAGGTTCCAATCAATATTGATGTTATTTGTGTTTGAATAGTTGCTATTTGAATGAGTTATATT